CTCTTGAATTGTGGGGGGTAGTGTTTTGAAAGGCACCCTTGGAGCCCAACTCCCACTGACTAACGGTGCCTTTGAAAATTTACTCAAGTCTTTTTAAATTCCCAATGAGGAACACAAACACACCAGGACACTGAGGCAATGGCTAGTCACGTCCCACATAGAAGACTCGGCCATAGTCTCTTAAACACACACACATTCCCCCACTCCAACCATTGGCGTGAGGTTTTCTCTCAGAACTCCTTACACTACAGGGGTAAATTGAATAAATTAACTTTTCAAGATAAGCCATCTTTTCCTGAACAACTAAGAAAACAAGGAAACTTTCAGTTTTCCAATATAATTCAAATTATTACATACTCTTCAGTTATCTCTTACTAGTCAATCAATAACTTCACCAATCATTTCCTTTTCCTTTTTAAGACTAAAATTTGCAAAGATCACAAACTCTCATATACGTCAGATTTCTTTGACTCCCCATTGTTAAGAACTGGAACCCACCACTCGAGTTGTGTTTGTCCCTATGTAGCTTCGAAGCATTACTGGTGTTCCTCTTGCTCTGTTTGTCATATGTGTCGCACAAAGTGTGTCCTCTATGTGGGAAAGTTTGCACAAGGAGAAAAAGCACCCTTCTAATATTTTCATACTTTTTAATCTTTCAGAGTAGGAGAAGATAGAGGAGATGGAAATCAATAAAACACAAGAGAAAGCCAACATCTAGTCTACACCAAAGCCATTAATCAGTCTAATTACATTACTGAGGATTGACAAATCCCTAGCTTCTTGTGAAGACAACGGTACGTCGACGGAGAGCATCTAACCTCAGCGGAGCTATCGCCACTTGCAGGGGTGGACTAATCAAGCAGATGGGCAAGCTCTCACCCCTTGGCTTAGAGCATCTGCAAACGAAGTGCTACAGCGAAGCAACTGCACCATCAGCTTAATTGTTCTGCCATAGCATCAGACACTCTCAACATTCATGTATCCTGAAATCTGAATTTGGAGCCCGACACACCCATTGCCTCATTGGTTCCCCTCATTTCTTCACTGCATGAAAGTCCTTGTTCCCCACAAGGCAACAGTGTGTGAGTCACAGAAAAGGAAAGTAATCTGAAGACGCTCTCGCGCTCTGTCTTTGCCTCCTGAAACTTTGGAGCCGAACAGTGAAGGATGATTAGTGTCCAGCTAACCCAGGTATTCTTTGGGACTGTAATCAATGGGCAGTGGAGTTGGCAAACAATTTTCCTCGCGTCAGTCATCACCCTAGCTTCCTCGGTAGCATTTCAAATATACAGTAGCGCTGAGAAAAGAACAACAGCTCTCGGTGACCAATTTATCACAGAAAGCTTGCATCCTTTACATGCTTTCACTGCGGAAAGAGCACGTGTGCCATGATTTCATAGGGCAGAGATTTAGGTCTATTTGGATTCAGGGAACTCCGCTATGGGGTGCCTTCCCTGTGCGCAATTGACGTGTGGCTCACTGTACAGGTATATCGTGACCGTCTCAGGGTTCTGAGGATGGTGGGTCTCCTTGTTACGTCCTTCCACTTTGTCAGCTGGATGTTAGCGACCAAACTCATCCAGACGGTCAGCAGCTCAAGCACCCTCCTCTAAGCTACATAAGCCCTGACAGTTGATAGTAGACACAACGTCGTGCCTGAGTGTCTTCAAATCCTCAGGGAAATCCAGATCCTCTGTACCCAAAGCAATGGTCTAGCCCCAGGTTACTAATTTTACTCTAGACCACTGCTCCTGTATCACACACAGCACTTGAGTACAGTTAGGAAACAAAAAGACATTTTTTAACAAGGGATAGCGATATAAACAGAAACAATTGTGACTGATGGAAAAACGGTGACAACCCTCCCCCGTATATGACCTACGCATTAATAGTTACCTTTCCTATCTAAGTAGATTGTAACCACATACTTCAGTCATAGACTCATAGAAGATGAGTGTTGGAGGCGACCTCAGGAATTCCTTTAGTCCAATCCCCTACTCAAAGCCAGACCAACCCCAACTATATCGTCCCAGCCAGGGCTTTGTCAAGACGAACCTGAAAAACTGCAAAGGATGGAGATTCCACCACCTCCCGAGGTAACCACCCTCCCCCTGAAATTGTTTTCCTTCATCTCCAACCTAGCCCTGCCCCACTTGAACTAGAGACCATAGAGCTCCTTGTTCTGTCATCTGCTGCCCCTGAGAACAGTCGAGCTCCATAGTCTTTGCAATCCCCCGTTGCTTTCAGGTAGTTGAAGACTGCTATCAAATGCCCATCCCTCGTCTCTTCTGCAGACTAAACATGCCCAATTCGCTCAGCCTCTCCTCGTAAGTCATGTGCCCCAGCCCCCTGATCATTTTCGTTGCCCTCCGCAGGACTCGATCCAATTTGTCCACAGCCTTTCTGAAGTGGTGGAGAGGAGGGGTGAAAACTGGATGCAATACAGTCTACTGCAGCCATTGTTAGTCCTTGGGATTCGGGGCCTTGCCGTTCATGAAGCACCACTGCACTGATAGGGTCTCTCTCCTGTATGCCTTGCCTGATGTGTAATTAGGGTTGATTTCTGACAGAACACTTTCCCGCATTCACGCCATTCATAGGGGCGCTCTCCCGTGTGGATCCTCTGATGTGTATTGAGGGCTGTCTTGACACTGAATTTTTCTCTGCATTTATGGCACTCATAGGGTCTCACTCCAGTGTGGATCCTCTGATGTGTAATTAGTGCTGAACTCTGTGTGAATGTTTTTCCATACTCAGAGCACTGATGAGGTATCTTTCCCTTGTGGATATTCTGATGTCCAATAAGGTCTGAGTTGACAGTGAAGCTTTTCCCACACTCACAGCATTCCTAGCGTTTCCCTCCTGTGTGGATCCTCTGATGGTTACTAAGGGTAGAGCTCAGAGTGAAGGTTTTCTAGCACTCACTGCATTCATGGGGTCTTTCTCCTGTGTGGATTCTCTGATGTTTTAAAAGGCCTGAGTGGTTAGTGAAATGTTTTCCACACTCAGTGCATGTGTTTTTTCTCTCTCCTGTGGGTATTCTCGGCTGGGCTGTGGTTTCCAGAAGGTCCTGGTGAGTTCCCTGACAATTAATGGAGTTACCTACTTTCTCCGCTGGCTGGTTTCTCTGCGACCTCTCTGGCCTGTACTGACTCTCACAGGCTTTGCCCTGCACACAATGCCGGGACACATTCCCTCTGGAGCCGTGCGATAATCCCCCATGTGGTGCCACTTGCTCAGAATCTTCCTGCTGAGGATTCTGCTTCTTCTCCTCACTCACCATCCCAGCACCTGCTGGGACAGAGAGAGAAACCTCAGACACAGGGATGGAAAGGGGAAAACAAACCAAAATTAGAGCTGGAGAGACAGAAAAGAAACCTAGTAGCTGGATTCTCCACAACTCTTCCCCATAGGGGAGAGAGGAGGGGAACAATTCTGCCTCCACATCCCCTCAGGGAGGGAGCTCTGCCAGGTGTCAGTCAGGATGATCAGGAAGCCATGAGCAACAGCTGCCCTGAGGATACACGGCCTCCTGGGGATACTCCTGAACCCCGAGAGCTCACAAGTCTTTTAGGGACTCCCAGCTGTTTCCTTCAGGCACTGAGAGCTTTGTGTTGGTTTAATGATCCCTCACCTGTGCAGGCACCTCTGGGGATCTCTCCTTCCACACAGCCCTGAAGATCCGGGACCCATGCCTCCTCCCCTCGTTCCAGCTGGGAGATCACATCAGGTTTGGAAACTGGACACCCTGCTCAGGGGAAAGAAAACAAGGGAGATCAGGGAATTTGTGGGACATTTCTATTACTTTAACCCCAGCCCATTTTACCACAGGGAAAGGCTGGGGGCAGCTCCCCAGGTGCAGGAGGGATTTAACTCTCCCCATCTCTGCTGGGAACACACAGAGCCAGACACTGCTCAGCAAAGGGGCTCCTAAAACACAGAGACAGGAACTCTGTGTTCCAGGAAGTTAAGGCCCCAGCCAGAGGGGAAGTTACCCTGGACCCTGCTTCTTCATCCCAGAGAGAAACCCCGAGAGAACGGGGGAGTTGTAGGAGAGCCGGGACCGGTGAGCATGGGCTGGTGGGATTCAGCGCAGTGAGGAATAGGAGGGACGAGGGGTGTCACCGAATGTCATATCTCAGGGCTTGTCTACACTTGAGACACCATGACTGGAGTGCTGTAGTGGATCAGTGTAGATACTCGGCAACGGGAAGGTTCTGCTGCCGGGGTAGGTCATCCACCTCCCCCAGAGGCAATAGCTAGTCCACAGAAGCATCATTTTCTGCATAAAAACCAACTATTCTAACTACCCTAAATTCCACAGGTGCATTCAGATGGCCTTGAAATGTGCTGGTTTCTATGGTCATTCATGGACGGGTTACTGGTCCCAGTATGGGGTGACTGGTTCAAGATGTTCCTGAGATTCCGCCCCATCACCCTAGGCAGCTTTTGACAAAAATCATCTTGGTCTTGAAATGTTTTTTGCACACAGCTGGGGCTGAAACTGTGGTTCTAATTGTCCGTGGACTGATCACAGTCACTTGGCGTTGATCTGTTAATACAGGACACCCCTGTCTTCTGCAGGAAACCAGCTCTGAAAGCCAATAGCTAATGAATCTGGAATCTCAGAGCAGCACAAGCCAAACTGAGCAGTCGCTGATCTGGAAATGCACACGTGCTGCCAGACTATGTCCCTATGAACTGCACGAGGGTTGCCAGCAATCTGCTGGGCCAGGGAAAGGTTTGTTCAAGGGGATGGACTGCGGCCACTGAACCTGAACGACACCCATGAACTGAAGCCTGAGCCCGAGCGCCGATAGCTTTCACACAACGTGTGTTGTGCATTTTTCTTGCATTCGGCAGAAGTTCCTCTTGGAAGCTTTGCCCTTTTATACCAAAATGTTTGTGTTAAGATTAATAGTTTAAAGTTCTCTAAACTAAAAAACCCACTTTCTTGCCCAGTCTGCACTTAAACTTTTTGCTAGCCTAGCTCTGTCTGATGGGGGGTGTGAAAAATCACCCCGCTGACCAACACAGCTATGCTGGGAAAAGCTCTAGGGTAGACATAGTTATGGGAGGTGGGGTGGGGGAATCAATTAAAAAATTAAAGGTAATTAAATACCCATAAACTACAGCCATGCAGAGGTCAAGAACATGCCACAATTGCAACACAACCTTAACTTTGCCCCTTCCCTAACTCTGGAGCTGGCAATAGCCACTGGAAATGGTTCAGTAAGGCTGGTGCAAAGGTTTACAAACTACCAATGGAAGTGGAGGCTCCTCCATCTCAGGAAGTCTTCCAATGAAGATTGGATGCCTTTGTGGAGGCTGATTAGTCAAATACAAGGTATTGAGCTCAGTACAGCTGTAAGTGGATGAAATTCCTGGCCTGTATTGTAGATAGTCCTTTCTGGCCATAGAAAGCTACAGCTATGAAGAACGACTAAGAAGAACATGCCACCGTTTGTGTTGTGTTCCACGGATCGGAATACCAGCATTTTCCTGCATGTGTGTCAGCTGTGGATGACTGGGAGCAGCTTGGCAGAGATGTGTCTGTGATACGAAGAGAGGTGCATGTAAAACTTGGGGGCCTAGTCTGCCTCATGCCCGTGCTAAGGGCTGGAGGCTGGGTCCATGAAGGTGCACAAGGGTGAGTTCTTGTCACCGAGATTGCCAGCAGCCTGGTGCCACACGTGCTAGTGATCCTCAGGGCTCAGTGAGAGCTAAGCGAAGTCCGCGACTCAGGAGGAATCCTCGGGGCGAGGGGAAAGGGGTGATCTCACTTTGCAGGTCCGAGCTGGTTTGTGTGGAGTGGGAGCAGTGTCTGAGTGCCGTCCAGGGGTCAGAAGTGCTCCTTGTGTCGCTGGAGCCAGAGCCGTCCCTTGAGTAGGGCAAATCGGGGCAACCGCCCCAGGCCCTACGTTTTGGGGGCCCCCGTGCTCTGATAAAATAGGGACTGTCCCGATATTCAGCCCTTTGTCCCACGTCCTGACCGATGTACAATCGGGATGCCATTTGTCCCAATATTCAGGTGAGGTGGGAGGGTGAGCGGGGTGAAGAGGTGAGTGGCAGGCAGGTGGAAGGGGAGTAAGGAGGGGGAGGGGTGGGCGGCTGGACGGCGAGGAGGAGAGCAGCGGACTAGTGGAGTGCTGGACAGGTGGCAAGGAAACTAATGGGGAGGCTAGAGTCAACCAGGTGGGTGAAGAGACGAGCGGCAGGCGGGTGTGCGGACAGCGAGGAGGCGGCAAGGGACGGCCTGGCGGCCGGCAAGGAGACTGATTTGTCCTAGGCCCCGCACCCCCCAGGGACAGCCCTGGCTGGAGCGCATCCACACTAGCAGCTCTTGCAACGACAAAGAAAGCAGTGCACTGTGGTAGCTATCCCACTGTGCAACTGGCTGCAGGGTGCTTTGGGAATGGTTGCAATGCCTCATGGGGCAGGTACAGCATCTCATGATGCAGGTTTCTCAATCCCATTGTTCCATGGGCATCCTACTAGATTGCCAGCCACTTTTTAACTGAAGTGCGGGGGGGGGGGGGAGAAGAGGAAGAGTGTGTGACGGAGTGTGAGTGCTGGGGGAAAGTGAGTGTGTTGGAATGTTGTGTCCACGGGCGCCGACTCCCTGGGTGTCCTGCCCCGCCCCAGCTCACCTCCGCTCCACCTCCTCCCCTGAGCGTGCCGCGGCTCTGCTTCTCCCCCATCCCTCCCAGCCACGAAACAGCTGATTTGCAGCAGCAAGCACTGGGAGGGGAGGGGGAACGCGGCATGCTTGGGGAAGAGACGGGGCCGGGATTTGGGGAAGGGGTTGTGATGGGGACCGGGCAGAGCGGGACTGGGGGTGAGCACCCACCGGCACCTGGAAAAGTTGGCACCTATGGTTGTGTCCTAAGTTCAGACAGCTGCCAAAAGCAAACTATCCTGAGGCAGGGGGAAACCCCTGACACCAGCCCCTGGCTCCCTCTCTGGCTTTGCACAGCATGTTACACACACACACACACACACACACACACACACACACACACACACACACACACACACACACACACACACACACACACGAC